AAATGCAAATTAAAACAGCTTTGAAATATCATCTCACACTTGATTGGCTAAAATGATAGAAGGGGAAAATGATAAATGTCTGAAGGGACGTAGAAAAATTGGGATACTAATACAATACTGGTGGAACAACTCAACAAAAAACAGCCACTGTACTAATAAATAAGCAATGGGGATACAAAATGATACAAAAGAAAAGTGAGGCAGTCCCTACTCTCATGGACTTTAATTAGAGATGACAACACATACAGGAGAAGACAGCTGCAGAATGAATAAAATGGCCCAATCATCCTCAGAGTTTAGCAACAAGGCAGATGATGATGCTCAGGGGTTTGAAAGGTATAGCAGTACAGAAGATGTTATTACTCCCATTATATTGTGAGTTCCTCAAAGGTACAGAATGTCTTTTGCCTTTTTCTGTATCCCCAGTGCATAGGACAGTGCCTGGCACATGGCAGGAATTTAACAAATGTTTACTGATTAGTAAGGCCGAATAAACAAGGTGGAATAATAGCAAGGAACACAGTAAAACCCAGTAGTATCTAGGGTGCTATAGCAAGGCCAAAGAATTGTACCTAAGCTCTAAGAATATCATATTTTGTCAGCCCTACAGAGGATGAACTGAAGGAGGAAGAAACTTGAGGCAGGGAAACCAATCAGGAGGCTACTGCAATATCTACATGAGAAGTGATGGGGACTGAACTAAGTGGGCGATTTGGAGGTGGGAAGAGGTGGACATGAGAGTGGAGAGAAGGTGATAAACATGAGAAATGAGGTGGTTAAATTGACAAGGTTTGTCAAAATTGATTGTGGAGTAAGGGGAAGGTAAGGATTCAAGAATGATTTCAAGGTTAGGAACCTGAATGACTAGAGTGAGGTAGTACTCTGCACAGAAAAAAAGGGAAGCTTAGAAGAGGGGCAAAATTTTGGGAAAGATAATGAGTTCCATTTTGGACAAGCTTAATTTGAGATGTCTATGAGATTTCTGCCTATTCAATACCCAATACACAATAGATGTGGGCCTGACTAAAGACAACCATATGGCTTTGGAAATCATATACACAGAGATGACAATTGAGGTAACCAAAGAAAGAGTATGTCTAGGAAAAAAAAAGTAAAGAGGACCCAGGTCAGAGACTTGGGGTATACCACAGCTGGGAGTCAGATATGAACGATGGTCTAGCAAAAGAGACCGAGAGGTCAGAGAAGTTTGGAGGAGGGGGTCAAGTGCCAGGAGTGAGAAAGAGCATAAAAGTAAGAGTGAGACAGGGGTTGTGAAAACCCAACATCCAGGAAAAGACAGTAGACCACAATATCAGATGCCTTAGTTAGGTCAAGAAGGATGGGGACTGACATCATCAGACCAGGCTAAGTAAATTTGGAAAAAGAAGTTTCCCCAGTATCTCAGAATCAATCCACAAAATACATTGGTTTTTATACAAACAATTACAAAATACTGTTTAGTAAAAGAATGAGTTAAATGTCATTGTTCCTGGTTGGGCTGTGACAATATAATAAAAATTATGTTGCTACCTAAATTAATGTAGAAATGTAATGTTAAACCAATCAAACTACCAAGGGCTACTTTATGAAGATGATAATAATAATGATAAAATTCATTTGGAGGAAAAATAAGGTCAAGGAAATAATTTTTAAAAATAGGAATGAAGGGGGCAGCTAGGTGGCGCAGTGGATAGAGCACTGGCCCTGAAGTCAGGAGGACCCGAGTTCAAATGTGACCTCAGACCAAACACTTGACACTTACTAGCTGTGTGACCCTGGGCAAGTCACTTAATCCTAACTGCCTAAAAAAAAATAGGAATGAAAAGGGAATTGCACTTCTGGACCCCAAATTATATTATAAAGCAGTAATCATCAAAATTATTAGGCACTAGTTAAAAAACAGAAAAACGGATTAATGGAATCAACCAGATAAAATCAAGAATCAAAAAAAAAAAACACTCAATCACAGTTCTAGTATACAACTTACTCTCAGACACATACTCTTCTATTCAGTAACAATGGCCTCCTGGCTATTTCATGAACAAGATTCCACCTCTTGATGCTGAACATTTTCAGACAATCCCTCATGCCTGAAAACACTTTCCCTCTTCAGCTCCATCTACTGACCTCCCCAGCTTCCTTTAAATCCTTTGTTTTACTGGAAGCCTTTTCCAAATACCTTTCTTCTGTTGATTTTTTTTTTACTTATCCTATATATAGCTTACACTGTGTGTATTTGTTTGCATGTTGTCTCTCCATCATATCGTAAGCTCTTTGAGGCAGAAACTATCTTTTGCCTCTTTTTGCATCCCCAACGTTTATCACAGTACCTGGCCTATTATAGTAAGCACTTAATAAATGTTTACTGATTAACTGATCGGCAATAGCAATAGAGTGCAACACTGGTTCTGGAGTCAGAAGATATGAATTCAATCCTTTCTTGGATTTTTATTTACCCATGTCACTATGAGAAAGACACACTCTCTATGGATCACAGTTTCCTCATCTGTAGAATAAAGAAGTTGGACTAGATGGTTTCTGAGGTCTCACTTCACTCAAGATTTATGATCCTATGATCAGTAACTCCATTTTCAACAAACCCTAAAACATGAAACTATGAGGGGAAGGAGTCTCTATTTGGCAAGAACTACTCAGAAAGTTAGTAAGCAGTATGGCAGAAATTTAGCTTTAGACCAACATCTTATACCATATATCATAATAAGATCCAAATGAACTGAATGTAAATAATCTAAATATAAAAGATCAAACTATTTAAAAAATATGACCATAAAAATGTAAAGAAAAACAATTTTAAAAGACTACTTTACTCTTATCAACGCGATCATGACTTCAGAAGACGAATAATGAATCATGCATGCCACCCCATTTTGGCAATGTGGTAATGAACTAAAGGTATAAAATGAGGCATGCATTTTAAAACACGGCCAATACGTTGAACTGTTTTGCTTGACTATACTAATTTGTTATAGGAGAGACTTCTACTGAGGGGAAGATGGTTTTGAGGGAGGGGAGGGTTTTACTGGGTAGAGATAAAGATCAAAAGGGAAGAAAGACGGCCAATAAAACATTCAAAATAAATGAAAAAAAAAATCTCAGAAGGGAACCCATATAAACAGGGAAGTTTTCTTACTATCATGTTAAATTTAACATATACTTTTTTAAAAAACACTATGTAACAAAGTTCAAGGTTCCATATACAAGCCTCCTTTTTGTTCTTTGTACACAAAAATGTATGTTGATGGCATATAGTAGGCACCTAATAAATGTTCAGTGATTATCATTTAATAAACATTTATTAAGTGCCCCCTGTACACCATGTTGTTGATGATTAAGTTTATAATAAAAACAATTTTTTAAAATTACAAATATGAAGAATTCATAGAAATTTGACAGGACTTAAACTGATGCAGCATACAGCAAGGAAAACAAAATACACAATAAATACAATAGTAGAAAGAACCCCCCCTTTCTCTCCTCCCCCCCAAAAAAGAAACAATACTACATAATATTCAAGTTTGACCGCATAGAAGAGTTGAGAAAAGTACCTACCTCCCTCCCTTAATGGCACAGGTGAGAGACTATGGATATAGGATTTAAAATATGCAGCCACACACAGTTGATGAGTTGGTTAATTTTGTTGAACTGCCTCTTTTTTTTTTTAAATCTTTGTTACAAGGGATAGCTCACAGGTAGGAAAGTGAAGGAAGAAGACATCTCTGGGAATGATTGTGATGTAAAAGCAAATGACATTAAAAAAAAGATGTTTTATAAAAAGAATTAAACAGAAGGAAGACAGTGGGGTAGAATGAACATGGGAGATCATGCAAACCTTTCTATAATACCCATCTGCTACTTGACACAAAATTCCACCACATTAACACCAATATTCTCTTGGTAATGTTCTGTGGCTATAAATCATAGTGAACACTCCAAGCTCCAAGAACTCAAAATGGCCAGTGGCTAAAAGAGCAATGAAGAGAGATGCAAGGATAGGTATAAGCGTGCTGCAGCATGTTACTAATAATTTATGCAATAAATTATGTAAAATTACAGAAAAGTATGGTCAGAAAAGGGGGTGGTTTGATCATGTACTGAGAATCAGTGATAAATGATAGCTATCTTAAGTGTTTTTCTCACAATCATAAAATGCTAAAAAGTCCTAGAAAAATCCTTCTTCATACTAAGTACATTTCTATGAGGGTTTTAGGGGAAGATGTGAACAAAAATAATACAGGATGAGAGAGAGTAAATGGGTTACTACCTGTAAAACTGAAAGGTATACAGATATCAGTGAGATTCAAAATCCAATGAAGCACTGAAGTATATCATAACTAAAGGCTAAGCAATTTTACTTAAGTGGATAATTAGTACCACTCAGGGTTTATATTTATATTGTCTGAACACATCTGAAAAAGTATTTCCTCTTGGCTCTTCCTGTTAAGAAGTTTTACTAATAAATATAAGCATGTACTGCCCATCACCATTAATTGGGTTTGAATGTGGTAAGAGGAAAACAATGTCATACATAAACAATCAGCCAAAAAATATCATTGTAAAGTTTTATGATTTTATACCAGATTTTGACTATAATTTCTTAATGGGTGTATTATTAAGTTGTACTGGTCGGGGCAATATTATAAGGAGTATCTTTAAGTAATGAGACAACCAATGTGACTAAAACATTCAATTACAGAATGAGAATGATCAATAAAATATGAGTCAATTCTGATGTATCTTAATGTGTTTTTAACATAATTATTATCCATATGAATAAATTTGTAAAGTGTTTCCACAGGAAAATTAAATGAACATAGACGTCAGACTGACAAAGATCACCCCATGAAGTAACTGGTGGAACTCTTATTTATAATTCTTATGATTCCTTAGGGATTTTTCAAATTTGAGATGCTTTCAATACAAGAGCAGTTCTGAAAACATTTTTTATGAATGTGTCATATTCTCCTATAACTGCTACTTACCAGATTGAAGATGCCAATAAGACATTTGTGTTATTTTCAAGGAATTTTACTGGAGCCTCTCCAAGCAAAATAGCAGACAAAATTCCCCCTCCAAAGCAGTACATCATAGCACTAAACCAGCTTACTAAAGGATTCTGCCATGCCACTGCAAGAGCTCCTGAAATGAAAAATCAAAAAGGTGGGTGTCTCAGATAACTATACAGTTTTTAAAATACAGACATGTCAAATATAACTAGTATAATAACCAAACCATTAAAAAATTTTAATAGCCTATAGTTCTCAAATATTCAGCAACTTTCATTTTATAGGTCAAAAAGTTAAATATCCACATTTAACAAATGTTTTGATTAAAAGGTAATCTTATTAATTACAGCTGTCTGGACAAACTAATAACATTTTGTTCTCTATTAGTTTTATTACTAACTACATTTTCAAAAAATTACACTAAGATTCATATTTTTATTTAACACAGAGCAGATATTCTTCCAGTTCTATCAATAAGTATTCCTGAATGTCTATTCTGGGGCTAACAATTAATGAAGTAAATGAATTATTTTTAATTAGAGAGCTATTTTCAGTGTCACTCCACAAAGTCCAATTCCAATGCCTCTTAAGTGGTGTGGAGATGAACTGAGGTTCTCAGAGGGATGCCAAAAGAGTACAAGCTCAAAGCAGAATCTACTGTGCCTAGAACTGTGGTGTCAGCAAAAGACAAAGTCAGTTTTTGAAGTACTGACTTATTTAAATACAGAAATGCACATCATTATGAGGCTGGCCACTTAAATTCATTGGCAGTCCACAAAACAAAGACAAATGTGAAATGACTTTTGAGGCCTCTGCAGGCTTCTTTCACTTATGTTGGGATAGAGGCACAGTAGTAGCAATGGCAGCAGAGTGCTAAAAATCATGAAGTTTCTACACAATATATAAGTGCAGCTTATCACTGCTATTGGAACTCTAAATAGTAGATCTTTGTCCAAAGAACAAAAGCGGACATACCATTAGAGGAAATAATAGTATCGATCTTTACTTTCTCACAATAAACAAAGGCTGAAGAAAGAAGAAACCTATAGCAAAATGTAAGTAAGGGTGACTCACAGGTTCTCCTTGTAAAGGTAAATAAATAAATCCCAATTCCCTCAAACTTTCTAGGATCTTCCCTTCCTCAAAACCACATTTAACCAGCTTGTGTTCATTCTATATATATTTACATAAGTACATGTAATTCCTCCCAAAAAACATCATTTCGTAAGACATTCACATGACACACACTGTTCCTAAGTTTTGGCCAAAATAATGAAAATAATTGCAGCTTATGAAATACAGAGAAAGAATTTCCACAAAGGAGCAATAACAACCTCTGAATTAAATATAATTTAAACATTCGGTGACTTCAGTGAAAAGGTACAAATGGATGAGGATGAAAAGATAAAAATAAACAATTCTCAAAAGAATTACAAACTATAAACTATACAGTGTGAAAGATCATTCCAGGTCACAAATAAGATAAATGAAAGTCAAAACAACTTAAGCTTTCACCTCAAACCCCGCAAAACAGCAAGGACGACAAAAGATGGGAATGTTCAATGTTTAGGAGCTATACAAAACTAACACACTGCTGCTACAGCAAAGATTCTGAAAAGCAATTAGAAATTACACTAAGAAAGTGATGACAACAGCCAAACCCTCTGACCTAGAGATTCTACTGCTTGGCATATGCCCCAGGGAGATCAAAGATAAAAAGATTCTATTTATACCAAAATAGTTACGGCGGCAATTTTTATCATAGCAAAAAAATAGAAACAAAGTTGATGTCTATGGATTGGGAAGGCTAAACACATTGTAGTACCTGAATGTAACAGAATATTATTGCTGTACAAGAAATAATGAATATAAGGAATATGGAGAAACATAAACAATTATTAAGAAAATTATTAAGAACTGATAAAAGTGAAGTGAACAGGGCCAGGAAAAGCAATATACACAAAAACTATAATGATGTAAATAGAAAACAAAAAAAAAGGAAATAATATTTGACCAACCTTGTCCCCACAGAAGAGATATTAGAATGTACTTTCTCCCACCTTTGAAGAGGTGGGGGACTAATGTACTATGTACTAGAGAGTGAGAGACAAACAGAGACAAAGAGAAAGAGAGAGAGGACTGTTATAGGACTTGGTTGACATGTTGGTTTTTTGGGTGTTTTTTTTTTTACTGAACTGTATTTGTCTTTTCGGTTTTTTGTTATAAGGGATGGCAGGGAGGGGGAAGATATATTTGAAAATGAAGGTGATAGAGGCAACTAAGTGGCACAGTGGATAGAGCACTGGCCCTGGAGTCAGGAGGACCTGACTTCAAATCTCACCTCAGACACTTGATGCTTACTAGCTGTGTGACCCTGGGCAAGTCACTTAATCTCATTGCCTAGCTGGAAAAAAAAAGAAAGAAAATGAAGGTGACATAAAAGATAGCAGTATTTTGAAAAAATAAAAATGTTTATGTGTATTCCTTCCCTTTGGAAGGAATACCACTCACTACCAAATGCAACAGCCTTCTTAGTTCACATCCCTGACTCAAGTAATCTTAGATATGGAAGTAATCTATCCTAACTCCTACCTGAAGAATAAATCCCCCTACAATATACCTGATAAGTGGTCATTTTATCTAAAATTTTGGATCAATATAAATTCCATAGAACCTAATTCCTGATCAAACAAGTTAACATATGTAAAGTGTTTTACAAAATTTGAAGTACTACAAAAATGTTAGCTATCATTCATTGCACACACCCTACTCAACTATACAAATCCATTATTTTTCACAATGTATGGATTCATGCAAACACAGCACTTTTGTTCGGCTCACGTAATCCACCTCAGGATGCAACAATAAGTACACCTCCTTACTTAAAAACACATCTACCATACTTATAACAAAAAGCATAACAGCTTTTTTTCAAAAACCTAACAAAAAATCATACCCCTATCCTCCATGAGCATGCCAACTATGTAATCAAATCTAGACACCAAAATTACCATAAGAAAGTTATATTCAAACACACATATCAATCAATCAAATATTTGTTATTTTTCCCTACATACTAGGCTCTATGTTAAGTGCTGGAAATAGAAATATAAAAGACAGAATAATAACCCTTGCCCTGAAGGAGTTATATTCTACAGGGGATGCAGCAATGTTCATAGGTAAGTAAATTCAGAATATATAAAATAAAGTAAATGCAATCTGGTTGGTGGTAGGTACCGCTAATAACTGGTAAATCACAATAAACATCTTTCAAACAGTTGTACTTAAGCTGAGTCTAAAAAGGAAATAGGGATTCCAAAAGGTAGAGGTAAGAAAGAAGAGCTTCCCAGGTCTCAAGGACAGAGTCTGTTCAAATGCACAGGAGATAGGAGATGGTATACAGGATATGAGAAACAGCAAGTAGACCAGCGTGCGTGGTGCATAGGCCAGAATCAGAATGTAAATTTGGTTTTGAATGGCTAACAAAGGAATCTATATTTGATCGTGGAGGCACTGGAGTGTAACTGCAGTTTCTGGGTTGAGAGTGGCATAAATATTCTCTCACAAAATGTTACACAGCCAAAATGTCCATATCCTAAAAACTAACTTTAATTACAATGATGCTTCAAATGACACAAAGAAGCAAGAGTAATCGAATGTTCTCATTCTCCAAAGAATATTGGTATTGCAATGATCCAAGACAACTCTGAAGGACTTATGATGAAAAATGCTACCCATCCCCAGAGAAAGAACTGATGTTGTCTAAATATAGATTGAAGCATACTTTTTTTTACTTTATTTTTCTTGAGGCTTTTTTAGTCTATATTTTCTTTCACATCATCACTATTATGGATGAGTTTTGCATGACTACACATGAATAACACAGAACCGAAAACAAAGTAGATAACTATCAACTGAAGAACAGTTGGGGGGTTTTAAATTGTGGTAAATGAATGTAGCAGAATATTACTATGCTGTAAGAAAATATGAGGATGATGAAGACAAAGCATGGAAAAATTTACACAATCTGATGCAAAGTGGATTAGGCAGAGCCAAGATACAATATAAACAATGACTACAGTAATGTATATGGAGAGAACCACAGAACAACCAGAAGTAAATGTTGCAAAATTATGAAGAACGTGCATGGCTCAAAAGAGATATGAAAAGACATCCATCTCACTCCTTTGTAAAGCTGGGTATTACACTGTACATATTTTCAGAGTTTTTGCAATATTTATCAGTTTTGCTGATTTTTTCTCTTCTTTTCTTAAAATATTGCTATATGAGATGGCTCTCTAGAAGGAGAAGGTAGTGGGTAAAATTTTGGTGATGTAAAAAAAAGTGTCAATAAAAATACATTTGATAAAAACTAAAAATTATGGAAACAGGTTTTATATGACAAAAATTAGGTTATAATTGGAACTATGGGATAATTCCATTGACATAGACTTGGCTATCAGACGATGGATAAGTCATATAACCTTTGTCAGTGCCTCAGAAATTCTAAAACTGTAAGCTACAAAACAGTTGCTGCTATGTATTAGTACAAGAAATTTCTTCCAGGGAACTCATAACACCAATGAAATCACAGGTCTAAACCAAAACAAAACACAAGCTGTACCTCTGGGGACTCACAGTTAATAACTGGATAAAGATGACCTCTCCACATCATACAACCAAGCAGTCTCTCCCCTCTCCAATCCATTCTCCAGAGATCGCCAAAATAATCTGAGACACATGTCAGACCATGGCCCTAGTTTACTGCTCAAGAACCTTCTATTGCACCCTCTTACTTTTAGAATAAAATACAAATTCCTCAAGTTGGCATTTAAAGTTCTTTATAATCTGGATCCAGCCTATTTTTCCCAAGTTTCCTGCATATAATTTCCTTTACACACTCTATATTGAAGCCAAAATAGTATACTTGCTGTTTCCCATAACATGGCACTCCATCTCCTGCCTCTAAGCCTATGTAGAGGCTAACCTCCAAACAAAGAATACAATCTCTCCTTATCTCCACCTCCTAAGAATCCCTAACTTCCTTCAAAGATTAGTTCATACATATCTCTCACCCTGTGGTTTCCAAATCTTATTTAGCACTCCACCTTTTTTAGACATAAAATTATCTTG